GGATCAGACACTGAAATGCTACAAGGTAAAAATGTATTTTATAACCCAGCCAAACTTTCAGTCTCCTTGCAGGTATGAGAGAGACGTGGCCTGACCAAAAGCTGGGGAGCCTTTTTATAGTCAGGCTCTGACCTTTGATTACAAAAGTGTAATATTTGCAGTTGTTAATTTAGTTAGTTATTTTCATGATCATAAGAAAAGTATATGATGCTTTTGTGGTCAGCCAGTTCTTGGAACATAACCATGAAGCAATGAAAACAATATACAATATGAAAACCACAAGATTATAGAGGAAGAACAAGTAAAAAAAGAACAAGTTGGCCTTTAGCTTGGGACATGATTACAGAAAAACACCATAGGGAACAATATAGAACTAAATCAAATTCCAACATTATGTTTAACTAGGAAAAGGAAGAAAAAATGCAGTCAGCTGGCCCTTCACAATGCTACGGTGCATTGAAACAGTGATGACAAGGACTTTCTACAATGGATAATGCTCTCTTTTTCACATTATTGTCTAAGGTTCCAAATGTTGAAATGTTTGTTTGTAACTAGGGAACAGAACACATAGTAAATAATATTCCTAATAGAGGTTAGAAAAAAAGCTGAAAACAGTTTAAGATTATCAGAACCCAGAATTGCAGGGGTATGAAGGTAAAGCCCGTGGCTTCCCTATCGTTTATGTACGTGCATTTTTTTCTTTTCTTTTTGTCCATGCCTCCCTTACAGCTAGAGAGCTCTTGAGATAAAATTTCTATTCATTTACCTCACTTGTATAAAACCAGCATCCTATCTCTCCACATAGAGGGACACTCTCTCATTCTAGACACATGGGGAGGGTCTAGGCCCTGCTCCAAATGATATGACAGACTTTGAAGATCCCCCATGGAAGGCCTCGCCCTCCCTAGGGAGCAGAAAGGGGGTGGGATGGGGGGGACAGGGGAGGAGGGGAGGGGAGGGAACTGGGATTGATATGTAAAGGAAGCTTGTTTCTAATAATAACATAAAAACCTATTTCCAAAAAATTAAAATAAAATAAAACAGGCATCCTGTTGTTTCATATTTACCTCACTTACTGTTATTGCTTAGGTTAGCAATGGTTTAATTGTGGCATTGTCATATTTGTGTCATTATACTTTGTTCTCCAGCTCACTGCACTCTACCGTGGGCCCTGCTCCCTTCTGAAAGCCTCTTCCCTTCTCCCAGCACACTTAGTATTTAATTTTCCCCTTCTTCATAGTTATTAGTAGAGAATGGAGGTAATGATGGGTTTGGTGGGCACTGTTTTTTGCCCTGTCCCATCTCCTATGCTGGGCTGCACACCCAACTCCTGATACTCCTGAGCAGTTCCCAGCTAGTCTCTGCCCTCTGCCAAAAGGAAGCAGATTCTTCTGTGGTTAATGACTGCCTGGCTGTGGGTACAAAAGCCTGCCCTCCTGTCAAGGTAAGGCTAACCTTTTGGCACAATCCTTGACCTAGGAGAGCTTCCGAAGCGATGAAGAGAAGCCACACTCAAAGAAAGGGTTTTGTGGCAAAAGGCACATCTTGGTGATCAGGGACAAGGAATGACACAAAACACCACACCATGCAACAGACCTCACACAAGAGATTTACTGGAAAGGGGTGCAGGATGCAAAAGGCGGCCTCTGAGCAGGAATGAGAAAAAAAACAGCAGGCCACGTCATGGACCGCAGGCTTCAAAGGGAGTATGGAGCGTGTGCAAGGGGAAATTTTGCAAATGTGGAAACGGAAATATGTTGCATTAGTGATGATGGGGGCCTCCGAGTCACTGAATGCCGAGAGGAACCTAGTTCCAGAATATGAATGGTTATTAGTTGACTAACAAAACTGATAGATGTGTTTAATTTTTCAGCCTGCCTTTTCTTACTCCTTTTTGCCTGGGAGATTCCCACAAGGAATCGCTAACCCCCAAGTCTTAACTAAGTTTTGCTTCTGGAAATAGATCCTAGAGATAGGTCACTGTGAGGGTTACATAGAGGATTACTGTCAGAAGTAATATTTCTTTGGGGCTTAAAGAGGGCTGTGAGTCAGTCATTCTAAGTCCCACCATCTGTTGTACAGGCAGAGAACTCCAGGAAGGAGCGGTGGTCGATGTGGTGGTACAGTTCAGGGAGGGAACATGCTAACAACACCAAAATCACCCTGTCCAGAAAATGACATTTAGATGCTCTCAGATAGAGGATTGGCACAGACTCAGGACTTCTCTTCTGACATGTCTTGCTTTTTTACTTTTATTCTGTTCCTTTTTTCCTTTCTCAGTCAAAAACAAGATAAAAACAACACTCAAGCCATGAAATAGTATATTTAACAAATTTATAATTTGTAAACAAATGTGTAAGATTTTTGAGAAATTTGTATTCAGATTGTTTGCCCATTTTAAAATAGATTAAGGGGGTGTATTATTTCTCTCTTTCTCTCTCTCTCTCTCTCTCTCTCTCTCTCTCTCTCTCTCTCTCTGTGTGTGTGTGTGTGTGTGTGTGTGTGTGTGTGTGTGTGTGTGTGTACATGCTCATTATATTGTTGATGTTCTCACCTCAAAGAAAACATGGCTCAGGAACATGGATTCAGGTTGCCCTGTCTGAAGCATTCCAACATGGAAAGGGTCACATGAACTTTTATGCATCTAGAACTAAAGAAAGTCATAAATCAAGACATTTGCCAAATGCATTGATGAGGAATCAGGTAAGCAGTTTCCAGATAATTTCTGATAACATCATTAAATTTGGGGTGGTGGGAGATAATGCTGTTATGTTATACATTTAAAAGTATTTTAACTGGTAGTTGATAGGAAATTACATCAGATATAGGTGTGGGAAGAAATAGCAATTAAGATGACTAAAAATAATACCAGGTAATTTTAGTTATAGACCTGTAATTCTCCACAACTGAAAAGTTCTAATCAGTTGTCCTTGGCTTTTTTCAGTCCACCATCTGTTCATCTATGTTCACAGCAGCATTATTTGTAATAGCCAGAACCTGGAAGCAATCTAGATGGCCCTCAACTGAAGAATGGATAGAAAAAAATGTAATACATTTACTACTAAGTCTGTCCCATCACCTAGTTGAGGCAGGACCAAGATACCTCTCCACCCCGACACCCCTGTGTCTAGGCTGAGTAAGGTATCTCTCCATATAGAACGGTCTCCACTAAGTCAGTTTGTACATTAGTGTTAGGTATTGAACCCACTGCCAGTGGCCTCATCTATTGTCCCAGTCACACCATTGTCACCTATATTAAGGGAGTCTAGTTTGATCTTATGCAGATTCCTCACTTGGCGGACCTGAGTCAGTGATCTCTCACAAAAAAATGAAGATTTTGTATGTTAATTTTGTATCTCTATTTTATTGACTAAATTTATTTCACTCTTAATAAAGTCTTTCTATGTATAGATCATATTATCTGCAAAGAGAAACAATTTAACCTCTTTCCCTATTTGTATACTTTTATTTCTTTCTCTTTCTTATTGTTTCTACAGTCCAGTACTATACTAAGAGTGGCAAAAGGAAATGTTCATCCAGATCTTAGGGAAAATACTTCCAGATCCCCCGCCCTTTATTTGACAAAGGTGTATAACACAAGTCCACACACCAGACTCTTTCCCACAAAAGAATGATGAAATTTTACTTTTTATTTTTAAGACAGGTTTTCACCATGTTGTCCAAGGCTTTTAATTTGTGATCCCTTTACCCAGACCTGTGAGGAGCTAGAATTACCGTTGTGCGTTATCACACGGAATGACATGTGGCTGAAATGATGTCTTTGATGTGCTGTTGGAATCATCGCTAGTTTTGGAGGGGTTATTTGTGAAATTTCTACATCTTTGTTCCATCAGTGATCTCTGTCTAGGGTTTTCATTTCATTTCCTTTTTTCCTGTTTCTATTTTTAAGTTTTAGAGAAAGTAGATTTGTTTTTGCTCAGAATTCTGGTGCATACTGGCTGGAAGGATTACACCTGATGAAGGTCTTCTTGTTAGTGGAGTCTCAGGGTAACACAAGATATTACATGGCAAGAGGCTCTGTCTCTCTCTCTCTCTCTCTCTCTCTCTCTCTCTCTCTCTCTCTCTCTCTCTCTTCCCCCCCCCCTCTCTCTCTCTCTCTCCCCCTCTGGGTCCTTGTCTGACTTTGGTGTAAAGAAATGCTGGCCTACAAGAGTTTGGAAAATCCCACCCTTTTCAATTTTAGGAAATTGTTTGGGAAGAATTGGTGGTTTTGTTTGAAGTTGTTTCTCTCTTTAGGTGTTACTGGGTTTTTTCAGATTTTCCATGCCATTACCACTCAGGTTCTCCATTTATTCTATTGTTTCAAACTCATTTCTTTAGTATTAATGTTATGTTTTGATTTGATTTGTTTGACCCAGGGTCTTGTACTGTGGTCCTGTAGGGGGATGGGTGGGGGATAGGAGGAAGGGAACTGGCAACATGACCCAGCAGTTAAAAGCACCTCCCACCAAGCCCAGCAATGTGAGTTCTATTCCCAGACCCTCAGGGTGGAAGGAAAGAACTGACTCCTGAAAGTGTCCTCTGACTTCGACATGCACGCCCACACACACACACACACACACACACACACACACACACACACACACAAAATAAATACAGGAATACAGTTTTGTTTTGCTGCCCTTGCACAGGACCCTAGGTTCAGTTGTCAACAAGCACCTCCCAGGGCCTGGCGTCCTCAGGAGGCAACATGCATGTGACTCACATAAATACACGCATGCAATACTCATATGCACACAAATTAAAAACAAATCTTTGTGGAGAAAGTTTCTATGTCAACGCCTAAAATGAAGAACCAGGAGTAGAACAAGGCACAAAATCTGCGCTTTTCAAGAGGTTCAGACGGAACTGAATTTAGGTGCCTTGCCCAGCAGCCTAGAGCTGGAAGGCGAAGAACGCGCCCTCATTGCCCTGGAAACCGGCTCTGGTCTAAGGACCGCCCCCTCCGCTCCACTCTCTCCGAAGAGGGCGGGGCTTCACAGTGAGCCTCGATTGGTCACGTGTCGAGATGGCGTTGCTGGGTGCTGCTGCCTGACGCAGGTTCCCGGGTCCACCGTGGCGGGTCTCTGAGGGAAGGTTTCCAGACTGGCAAGCAGGCACCGACCCCTCTGTGCAGCCGCCATGGACCTGACTTTAAGCCGGGCTGATTATCTCCAGGTAAAGCGGTCGGTGGGCGCCCTTCTGGGTGGACGTGGGGCTGCCGTCCTCAGGCCTGGGGAAGCAGCAGTTGCTCCAGGCCCGGGTCCTAGGGGTGTCCCAGCTGCTCCCAGTAGCCTCGATTGCCCAGTCACTCCTCCTGGGGCTGACCACACCAGCCATCACTCCAGGAAACCATCACAACTCTATTGAGCTTACTAGATCTTGAAAAAAGTTTACCACTAGGTAGTACAAATGAAGAGTCTGGGGCCCAGAGAAAGTAAGTAATTTACCCCGTAGTTAAAACTTATGTAGTTGCTATTTGAATCAAAGTGTGGGGCTCCAGAGCAGGTATTTCTTCAGTGCATGACTACTTCCCAGGAGGTTGGACCAGCTACTTCACTTTAATACCTTATGGATGCTGATTGCTACATCTTGTTACTGTCGCTTGGATCTGGCCAATTTGCCACCGTCTCCATGGGTTGATAGGGCCTACAACATCCATGTTCAACTTCCCTCAAGCCACGGTTCGAAGCACTTGAAAAATGTCAAGCTAAACAGATTGTTTAAAACTTTAACACCTATGCCTAAAAATTCTGAATACATCCTATCTGTACTGTATGCAATTCCATGACTGGTTGTTTTTAAGTTCTGCCCCGCTTCTGGTGACCGTTACCTCTGCTGAACAAGCCATGCATGCTGCTTTCATCCCCATACCTGTTGTAAAACAGTCATCATCGGTTACACTGGATGTTTCCAACATCAGCGTGAATGTCACTTCTGCAAAGCCCCCTATTTTTCATCGCACTTTACCAGTGATGTTACATAATTATTTTTTACTTAATATGATACATTTTGGGCTGTTTCCTCTATTCTGACTTTCTCTGACGTATTTCATTAGGAAATATTAACTGATACGAATATACATTTCAGTGAAAAAATTAAAGCTCATTATGATCTGTTCTTTTTAAATTTCTGTTGTAATAACTTCAAATCACAATGTGTCAGCAAACAATCACCAGTTGGCTGGTCTGTTTCCTCAGGTGGGAGTGACCTCTCAGAAGACCATGAAGTTGCTACCTGCCTCAAAACAAAAAGCTACACAAAAGGTGCGGTAGACACTGACTTCTTCTCCAGGTTCTAACAGGAGAGGCTCATTCTGCCTTCCTTATTAGTAATTTAATGTGTAAAAGGTGCGAATGTCAACATGACAAGGAGCATCTTTAATTTGCATAGAAGTTGGAATGTGAACAAATGTTTGCAGCCAGCCATGTTCTTGGACATTGATATATTGCACACAATTAGTGAGTTGTGTAAGAAAACTTGATAAAAAAACATACTTCTTGAGCTTCAGTTGTAGTTCTTGGGGGAGACATGTGTAGCCTGTTGGAGATCCTGAGGTAAGCCCCTAGAACTGCAAAGCAAAACACTCCTTTTATTTTTCTGGTAATAATTCACTTTGTGTATCGGGTTTTGTGGTTGGTGTGTGTGTGTGTGTGTGAAGTGCAAAATACAACAGAATATTGATAAAGTAATTCCTTCCAATCTTCTATTCTGTTGTTTTATTTTTATTTATTTTATTTTTGAGACAGGTTTGCATGTAGCTGAGGCTGGCCTTGAACTCTTAACCTTCCTGCCTCGTCATCAAAAGTTCAGGGAGCATAAGCATATGCAATCATGCCTGGCTTTAATTTTCTCTTATTGTTTGAGTTATTGTCTTTAATGTTGAACTTTATATTAACTTGGCTTCTTATAGATAAAACCAATTATTTTTGTAGGAAAATAAAGTATTTTAATAGTGGCAAAGCAAATGTATTACTTTGATGTATCAACATTTTCAAGATGAATGTGGAGAGGTTTTTTCTTGATAAACATACTTAACTACATTATTTAACCTTTGGCTACACTTTTAATTGATTTGAATAAGGGCGGTTTCTCTGAATAAGGTATTTAAATGTGTGAGAGAATTCTGACATTTTAAACAGAACTTCAAGAAAATCAACTGATTTCTGGTTATTGTTTATTATATTCTAGATATAACAGCACATCTCAAAAATTTTATTCATTTAAATTGTTGAGGATCTGAAAGAACTTATTTATGTGATATCAGTACTTACACTACTAGATTTAAATCTAAGAAATATTTAAAATATCAAAAATCAAACTCATGTTTACACAAAAACCATACTTGTTAAATATGTTAAATATTAATAAATATTAAACAAATACATTTGTTAAATATTAAAAGTATACTTTCAAGATAGAAGAATTTAGAAATAACAGTGATATTACCTGTTACGTTTTTGCAAATTCTTAAATGTGTATCAAAAACAAAGGTAGGTGTTGTTTTTTCTGCATTCAGTCTGTTATGGTGTTTTGTTTTGGTTGCAATACATAGAGAAAAGCCTCCTTAAATCAGCTTACATGGATACATAGTTGAAAATAAAGGAAGGTGTTTTAAGTAGCTTTTTCAGATTACTCTAACTTTTGATGCTATCTTTAAATTGATGAGGTTTCTTGACTATTCCTGCAGTGTGTCATCTGAAGGCACTGGTGAACTTTTCACCGTGGCAGTAAGTATACGCTCTGAATCAATCTGTTATAGGTGGTTGTTGGAGATCAAGATGGGGTCGTGATGTGCTTTGGCATGAAGAAAGGAGAGGCGGTGGTGAGTGGCACTGTTTAAGGCAGTGGTTTTTCCAAAAGACAGTCGCACTCCTTGCTGAACACTCCTAAGTTAAAAATTTTCCTAAAATATAGAAATGGAAAATAAATTGTAACATTTTATAAGTTTAAAAATCATAGCTTTTATAGTCAAGGAAAATGTTTACAAAAAGATCACTTGTACACAACTTTTTCCTTAATTGATCTTTGCAGCCAGTCTTCAAGACTTTACCAGGGCAGAAGATTTCGAGGCTGGAACTAGGAGGGGTTCTCAACACGCCCCAGGAGAAAATCTTCCTTGCTGCAGGGTCTGAGATCAGAGGCTTCACAAAGAGAGGAAAACAGTTTCTCTCCTTTGAGACAAACCTCACTGAAAGCATTAAAGCTATGTATGCTCCATTCTCTTTCAAGTTTATATATGTGTCTATAGCACATTTGGGTTGATGTAAAACATCTGATTAAATTAGTATATGCTAGTAGGTTGCCTGGAAAGTAAAACTGGCTATAGGTATTTCACTAGTCAGAGCCTTGAATCAGTGCAAAGTTGATTGACTGTTGTAATGTTTTCCATGTTTTTAACTTCACAGTGTGTGGATGTGTGTAGACGCTCACATTCACTTAATGTTTGGGAGGCAATACACGTACATGATGTGTGGTGTCAGATCAGGGTAATTAGCATATCTGTCACCTCTGACATAATTTGTTGCTGGGAACATCCTAAAACCTCTCTACCAATTATTTTGAGTGTAACGTTGTTGACTACATTTAGTTTCCACTGCCTGGTTGGTTCAGTTATGATTATGATCAAGGCATGTGTAAAAAGTTAAAACAGAAACCTCTGTAGAGATACAGATTCCTGTTCCTCAAGTGTCTTTGGTAGTTCTGGTTTGAGGTAGCTAGCTATGTTACCTTAGAAGGCTGATCAGTATTTGAATGTGGTGGCTCCAGTCTGTAGTCCCCACACTTGAGAGACTGAAGCAGAACGATTGTTGTGAATTTGAGGCAAATATGGGCTGTATAACGAGTTCAAGATCAGTGTAGGCTACAGAGAGACCTGGTCTTAAAAATCAAAAGACAAAATAAAGCAAAACAGTTGCCGACCTCTAATGGTTGTCCTTTCTAGTGGATTGGGTAACATTAGTGAAAAATAAGTGACTTCCTGGTATGAAAAATTTCACAATTAAAAATTTAGATTTGTTTTCTACCAAGAGGTAGGGGAGAGAAAGAGATGTATGTGTGGGCATGCATGTGCTGTGGTCTGTGGTAGAGGTCAGAGGTCAACTTTGTAGAACTAGTGTCCAATGTGAGACTGAGGAGAGTTCTGGGAAGAAAATTCAGATCATCAGGGTTGCATGGCAAACTCTCTACCTTCTGAGCCATTGTCAACCCTGAAATTTTAGTATTTTGAGTCATGGGGGCTAGAGAGGCCTTAATTCGTCTAATCCAGACCCTCCCCACCCCCGTCTGTTTTTTGAGACAGGGTTTCTCTGTAGTCTTGGCTGCCCTGGAACTCACTCTGTAGACCAGCCTGGCCTCAAACTCGGAGAACCTCCTGCCTTTGCTTCCCGAGTGCTGGAATTACCCAGTCTCTTAACCCTGCTAACCCAAGACCTCTTTGGAAGCAGAGTAACTAGGAGTGCCTTTTATATTTCTTCCTTGAGTGCCTTTTATATTTCTTCCTTTGCTATGATGCAACCAAGTTGAACAGGTAGCCAGAGACCTAGTTTGGAAACTGCTAGTTCACACCATCTCTCTTTATAGTAGACATATGTTATGTGTCATTCTATGCAATACATGGCATTTTTCTTGACTTGTAAGAACTTTTAAAACTCTGGTTTAGTGAAATGAGACTAGAATTCAATAGCAACAAGTGAAAATAATTTAAAGTGGTTTAACAAATTATAATTTTTTGAAATGTCCTTGTAGAATGAATTTGAAACTCTTTGTGATTATTAGCTAAACTTTGTTAACACAATTATAAATGAATTATTTTCAAGATAACATTCTAATCATCCTTCATCATTTACTTTAAAGTCGATTCACGTGAGGTGTACTTTTCTAGGCATATTAGTGTGAGGCTAACTCTGAAGCTGAAATTACCCATGTCATAGTCTGTCATTTACAGTATGAGCCATTAGTCCTGTTAACATTCTGCTATTCACTTATAATAACATTCTGTATAGTATCATGAGTGCTAATGTGCTAATTTGGGTATATCAGTTAGGACAGTGCTTGGCACATGATACAGGTTTTAAAAGTTTCTCTTCTGGGCTGGGCATTGGTGACACACACCTTTAATCCCAGCACTCAGGAGGCAGAGGCAAGTGGATCTCTGTGAGTTCGAGGCCAGCCTGGTCTCCAGAGTGAGTGTCAGGATAGGCTCCAAAGCTACACTGAGAAACCCTGTCTCGAAAAAAAAAAAAAAAAAAAAAAAAAAAAAAAAAAAAAAAGTTTCTCTTCTGATACTATTTTCTGTTCTTTGTTTTTCTGAGGTATTTAACCAGAAGCCTGATTTACAGTCAGAAGTGTTATGTCAAATGACTAGAAATTAAAGCTGCATGGTTTGAGGCAGGATGGCATGATGGCATGATTCCACAGCCATCCTCAGCTCTTAAAGGGAGATCAGGACAGCCTACAAGATCCAGTCTTTATGTGTGGGATAGAAAAGTGGGGGAAATGAAACAAAACTTACCTATATAAATAAATATAAATAAACTCTTTTCACTTCTAAAAGAAAATCAGTTCCCTGTGCTTTAAAATATAAACATCCTAAATTACTGTTTGAATGTCCTCAGGTACATATCTGGCTCTGACCTCTTTCTCAGTGCAAGCTACATCTATAATCATTACTGTGATTGCAAAGACCAACATTATTACCTTTCTGGGGACAAAATCAATGATGTCATCTGCCTTCCTGTGGAAAGGTTATCTCGAATGATGCCGGTGTTGGCCTGCCAGGACAGGGTGCTCCGAGTTTTACAGGTGATGTCCTTTGCATTTTAGATCTTTTCACTATTCAGTAAATCATTATGACTTCCTCATGCTTAAAGTTTCTTTAACGATCCCTGCCTAATGTATCCTATGTAAAGCTGAATGAATGTGAGAAAATATTTTTACATTTGGTAATTTCTCTCTTTCTTCAAGCAAATGTGTTGGGATCTTTGGAGAGTTTTTAGAAAATATCCAGGGAGGGAAATGGCTGTTTTCTGCTCCCCTGTTCCCAATCCCGAATGCAGACCATCAGAATGGAGCACTTCAATACAGATGACTATTGCTAGCACTTTCCTTACTTTGTTCCTTCATTACTTTTCTAGTCCTCAAAATTAAAGGAGAAATTGTGTAGAAGAGTAGGTGACAAACAACATGAATTTATCAGTCACTTAATCACAGTATGTAGGATAAAGTACTCAGTAAATAATTTGTTACATAAATAAATGGTAGAGTGTTTGCCTACCAGGCATGCACCCTTTGGTTTGAAATCTGGTGCTACGTAAACCTGATGTTGTGGTACAAGCCCCAAATTGTAGCACTTAGGAGGTAGAGGCAGAAGAATCAGAAATTCAAGATCATCCTTAGCTTTGTAATGAGTTTGAGACCAGCCCAGGATAGATGAGATCCTGTTTCAAAAAAGCACAAAGCAGGCTAGCATTCCGCTAGAAATTGCCTAGCTGATTTCTAGGGTTCTGCTTTGTTTCACAAGAGGCTATCTATATTCTTATTTCTTTATATCTATCTGTGGTTTTATTTTTTTTCTTGACGTGGTATTATCATATAGTCTCTATATGGACCAGAACTAGCTATGTAGACCAGGGTACTCTCAAACTCTCAGAGATCCACATCTCTGCTTCCGGAGTTCTGGGAGTGTGTGCTACTATGCCTGCCTATATTCTTATTGTTAGAAATAAACCAGCAAGGATCTGTGAAAAGAGAAACAGAATGTTGTCCTTGTGCCTTGCTCATTTCCCCTTTCCTGCCTTTGAGAATACTCCATCCCCTGAACTTGCCTCTTTTACAACTTGTAGATGTTGTGTTTTACTTGTAGATGTCTACAAACTTTTTTGTTTTGAGACAGGGTTTCTCTGTATTACTTTGGAGGCTGTCCTGGGACAAGCTCTGTAGACAGGCTGGGCTCCAACTCACAGAGATCTGCCTGCTTTGCCTCCCCAATGCTAGGATTAAAGGCACGCACCACCAACACCTGGCCGATGTCTACAAACTTTAAAATTGTTAATAAAGGATAAGCATATGGCTCTTTTCCATGTTGTAAATCTACATTAAAATCTTATAAGTGGTAAAACAACAACAAAGACAACAGCTTGTTTTCATATCTGAATAGTAGATTATTCTGCCTCCTAGGTGGAGTGAGTTTGGAGATTACCAAAAGGCAAGGCCAGGGATTCCCTAATGAAGTAACTTTGGGTGCGCTCAGTTTTGAAGTTATTCAGTCTTAAACCCACCAGTAAACACTAGAGAAGACAGAAGAAATAACACTTGTTCCTGAAAAGTTTCAAAAGGTGTTTACCAGTATATGGTTTTCAGATAGACAACATATTAAAAATGAAAACTATTGGCTTAATCTATTTAGAAGTTCATTGAGTTTTTGGTCTTTGGATCTGGTTAATTATGTTTTATTTTTCTAAGAAGGTTCAAAATTTAAAAATGAAAACTATTCAAAGTAGAGAATATATTATGTATTTTTCTCCTTGATGTGTGTATGTATATTTTTCATTTTCAATGTGTTAATATATGTGCAATTATTGAAAACACATTTATATTTACAACTTACTTTCTTTTTGTTGTTGGTTTTTATTTTTTTGAGACAGGGTTTCTCTATGGCTTTGGAGGCTGTCCTGGAACTCCATCTTGTATACCAGGCTGGTCTCAAACTCACAAAGATCCTCCTGTCTCTATCTGCCAAGTGCTGAGATTAAAGGTGTGCGCCACTACCGACGGGCTTACAACCTACTTTCTTAAAGTACTTTTATTTTAAATGTTTTACGAATTAATAGGTTTAAATATTGATGTTTCCCATGGTTTCTCATATTCTTTTGAGTTTTGTTTTGTTTTTTTCAGCTTTTATAACTCTTGTTTTCCTTCAGGGATCTGATGTGATGTATGAAATTGAAGTACCTGGTCCACCCACCGTCTTAGCTCTACATAATGGAGATGGCGGTAATCAGATTTCAGTACTCACAGCCAGTTATGAGTGTAAAGACCACTAAGTAAAATCAGGAACCTGTGTGCAGAATGTAGCAGAGTTAAGTGTGTTCTCTTCTGCTCAGTTGTGAATTATTGAACTTCCTCGTCTTGAAATTAGAAGTAGGTAATATGCTTCACCTTGTGACCACAAGGTGACTATTTTATTCTAGTTTCTGTGAATCAGAACAACACAGTAGAGGTAAAACATTTAAATGTTTGGTTTTCATTGATGAGATTGTTTTAAGGTAATAAGAGCATAGACATGGAGTCACATAGTTAGGATTCCATAGGAACTACCTTGAAGCAGAGGAGTAATGATAGTTTCGCTTCTAGACAGCCAAGGGCCAGCTTTCTTAGAAAAGAAGAAATGCCAGGTAAAGGAATCTTGGTTCATAAATTTTAAATGGAATTAAAAGGTTTAGAGCCAACATAGACCAGCATTCTGGCATACATGATTTTTTTCTATTCATTTTTTATTAATTTATTTTTCTAATATATAAAAGCAAAAACTACATCTAAATGGTGGTATCATATGATGTTTTGATACACATAGACCAAATGTTTTTCCCCTTTAAAAAATTCCCCCAAGTGAAGTTTCTTGGCTTTATGTAATATTTGAAAAGTGAGATTTTAACATTAAAATATTTTTTAAGATCTATTGTTCATATGTTCACTTTAATTTTAACTAGGTGACTCCGGAGAAGGTCTTCTGTTTGGCACATCGGATGGAAAGCTCGGGCTTATTCAAATCACCATATCCAAGCCAATACACAAATGGGAAATTCGAAATGACAAAAAGCGGGGAGGTACATTTTCAATATAGTTCAGATTATGAAGTTTAAACAATTATTTAATAAAATAGAGTATGCAAGTTATTCTGTTTTAGTTGATTATATTATATATCAGGCTTAGTGATTCACAGAGTTACCTCTGACTTATCCACTATTTGATTATAGAATCTATTGTATTATAGATGTAATTTCTAAAATAAGAAATGCTACTTGTTATTTGGGATAGACGTATAGGTTAATCTCCATTATTCCATGTTAAACCCCACTAGAATAGAGACTTAACTAGAATCTGAGACATTTGGTGGGATGTAAAGAATGCAGTAGTGGGCCAGAAACTAATTCTATTTTCTAAGGAGTTTATAGATTTCCAAGAATTTATACACAACTTGGGAGGTAGTGAGATAGCTATTTATATGTACAGGATATTTGCTTGTCTATATATTTATCCTTCAGCAAACACTTGGTTGGGGAAACAAAGAACAGACAGCTGACTCTATGTGATCACTTCACCTGGTCATACGAAGAGAACACAGGAGTTTAGCGTATAATAGGGTGATGATGGAAGCAGCTCCTCAGAATTTGAGCTAAGAAGGTTTGGGGGAAAGACTGTTCTAAGAGGAGGAAAAAATAATGGAAAGCCCTTGAGACAGAGGTGAGCTTGACTCATTGGGTGACACTAGAAAGATCAGTGTGGCTGAACACAGTAATGGAGCCTGAGGGTAAGAAGGATGACATAGCCTAGAATTCTTCACCTATGCATCAGAGGCAGAGTTTACTGACAATGGAAGAGGCCTGGAGAGGGAGCAGTACTGATACAATGTGAAGAATATTAAAGAATTTTGCTTGGGGCATGAAAAGTTTGAGATGCCCATGTGTAGAGGAAGGTGACATATTGGACAAAAGAGTCTGGGCTTACTGAGAAGCCAGAGCTAAAGGGAGATGTAAACATAGGTGCATTGCTGTGTAAATTGTATTTAAAGCTTTGGAAATAGATGAATGGAGATGGAAAAGAAAATAAAACCAATTATGTGCAAAGTTGTTCCTTTTCTTTACCCAGTTCTAACTTATTATATAAAATTTTCATAACTATGTGGTATGAAAATATATGAATACATGTATATATTCTCCTGCATCTCTTGGTTCTCTAACCCATCACTCTCATTACTTATACCTCCCTCTTTTTTTATAGGTATCTTGTGTATTGACAGCTTTGATATCATGGGTGATGGGGTTAAAGATTTGCTTGTTGGGAGAGATGATGGAATGGTGGAAGTGTATAGTTTTGAGAATGCAAATGAACCTGTGCTGCGATTTGATCAGGTAAGTTAATTTAGAAAGATTTGTGTGGGGGCTGGGACTAGAGTTTAGTGGTGGAGGCCTTGCCAATTGTGTATGAAGTCCTGGTTCTATCCCTAATACTATAAACCAAAGCAAGACAAACATTGTATACTTATCACTTGTCCATTGTTGTAAAGATTGATGATAGTGTGAATTTTAGGAAATTCAAACATTGCAAAATACTGCTTTTTAAAACAAAATGTTATTTGTTCTATCCTGACCTGGTGGTGAGACCTCTAAATCCCAGCAACTCTGGCTGAGACAGGAGGATCGCAAATTCAAGGCCTTCCTTAAAGAGTAAGCAACTTTAGTGAGACTCTGTCCCAAAGCACAAACTAAGAAAACCAGGATATTGCTCAGTGGTAAATAAATATGTGTAAAGATGTCATTCTCAAAATCTCTGGTCTATTCTTGTGTGTGAGTAGCAGAGTACTGCCTTTAAGTGAATAATAAATTTCTTTTCAGTATTATTCTTAAATATCATCTTAATTTCTTAGCTTTTAAATATTTTATCCTAGTGTTTATGTATCAGAACAACACAGTAGAGGCAAAACATTTAAATGTTTGGTTTTCATTGATGAGACACTGAAGTCACGTAGTTAGGATTCCATAGGAGCTACCTTGAAGCAGAGGAATAATGATAGTCTCGCTTCTAGACAGCCAAGGACCAGCTTTCTTAGAAAAGAAGAAATGCCAGGTAAAGAAATTTAGTTCAGAAATTCTAAATGTAGCCAGGCGGTGGTGGCACAGGCCTTTAATCCCAGCACTCAGGAGGCAGAGGCAGGCCTGCTCTACAAAGCTACACAGAGAAACCCTGTCTTGATAAACCAAAATAAATAAATAAATAAATAAATAAATAAATAAATAAATAAATAAAACAATAAATTTTAAATGTAATTAAAATCTATAGAGTCAACATAGACAAGCATTCTGGCATATGTAAATTTTTTTTCTACTGTATCCTATTCATTTTTAATTAATTTATTTTTCTGATATATAAAGGCAAAACTACATATGAATGGTGGTATGGTATTTGTGGTAACATATGATGTTTTGATTCATGTATACCAAATATATTTCCTTTAAATTGTTTTGTTTTGTTTTGTTTTTCAAGGCAGGATTTCTCTGTATTGTTTTGGAGCCTGTCCTGGAACTCCATCTGTAGACCAGGCTGGCCTCAAACTCACAGAGATCCATCTAGTGCTGGGATTAAAGGCGTGAGCCACCAAAGCCTGGCCTCCTTTAAATTTTTTAAATTGTACTTATTTGTAAATTTGTATATTTAGTGTTTATAGAGAGGTGTTTGTTTGTATGCATGTGGTATGTAAGCACATACCACTGCATGCATGTATTGGCCAGAGGATAACTTTTGGGAAATGGTTCTCTCTTTCCACCATGTGGGTCCTGGGGATCAAACTCAGGTTGTCAGGCTTGGTAACAAGATCTTTACCTACTGAGATATCTTGCCAGTCTCTGAGTATAAGGTTTAAATAGTGTTAAGCATATTTCTTAGTGAAAATTCTCCAAAATCATTCCTTGTAGCCCTTTGAAGTGTATGGTACATAATTGCTATCTACAATTGGCCTACACAATGGCAAATATCCTTTTCCTTCTGTGTCATGATTATCTATCAGAACTTCAACAAATAAGTAAAAAATATAATAAATCAAGTATCAGAACTTCATACTTCTATAGCTGTTGGTACTCGTTAGTCAACTTTTCCTTATTCTTCCATTCCCTACTCTGGAGAGCTACAGCACCCACTATTCTATCCTTAACTCCTGTGAGGTCCACACTTGATGTTCCACATATGAATGAGAGCTGTGGTCTTTTTGTGCCTGTCTAAACCTATTCTGTTTCAGAAAGTGGTACTAGTCCTACAGTGTTTGATTGTTGTAATGAGATCCATGAGGGCAGGCTGCCTTAGAGAGTTTAGGTTTGGCTTCTGGTTCTGAGGTAGAAGGAGTACAGCTTCATCTGGTCATGGTGTACTTGCTGGCAGATTCCCAGCTTAGTGCAGAGTGCCATATCAGAGAAACCTGATGGTGTTTGTGTTTGGTCTCTCTCTCTCTCTCTCTCTCTCTCTCTCTCTCTCTCTCTCTCTCTCTTCTTCCGTTCCCTCTGCACCAGAACCAAATTCTGAGACTCCACCTGAAGACTTTATCTGTCCAATCCTTTTTCAAAAGCCCCTCCCCAGCCCTTAGTTGGGTTAATCCATTAACTCATGATTTTGGAAATGAAGCTTCTGTGGGTGTCTACATGTTCCTTTGGGCATTCAGATCCTAGCTGCCTGATTCCCTCCAGGGCTTCTTCATGCTTCCTCATAGAGGCTACACTGAGGCTTTCAAATAAAAGTATCCACAAAGTGTGTTACAGAGGAGGCGATGTGGAAATTCAAACATTACACAGTCAAGTATTTTACAGATTTAGTTCAAACTTGTTCATCTTGATGTAAAAAGTCATCTTGCTAAGTAAAATTCAAGAAATACGTCAGAGCCATGTGCTGATGGCACATGCCTTTAAATCTCAGAAGAGGCAGAGATGGATCTCCAAGCTGTCTGGTTTACAGAGTGAGTCCAGAAGAGCCAAGGGTACACAGAGAATCCCTGTCTTGAAAAACAACAAAACAAAACAAACAAAAACCAAAGAAATAGTTCAGGCTTCAAAGTAAATAAGTATATAACAGTATTGGTTGATGATGTGCTTTTTTTGTCAGTCCTTGAAAAACTTTTCGTACTAGACCTCAAGTCTTCTCTACTTCTGTTCTGTGCCTTAGTGAACAGCAGGCATTTGCTGTTCACTTGTGTCTGTCACTAACAACCGCTATCTCCCTGGCTGTTTTTTCTACCTTTCTAATGACAGAGGGGCTTGTGTCAATAAAAAATGAAAAGAAAAAAACAAGACTACAACTTAAAATAGTTTTCAGCTAATGGATAATTTAGGAGAAATACAAGTTTTTTTTATTTTAATTGATTTATTTTTGTTTTATGTGCATTGGTATTTCCCTACATTTATGAGGGTGTCCAATACCCTGGGGCTGGAGTTAGAGACAGTTGTAAGCCACCTGATGTGAGTGTGAGAACCAAACCTGTGTCCTTTGCAAGAGCAGCTTGCACTGTTCCCCGTTGAACCATTTCCCCAACCCCCTTATATTAGTCTTGATCAGATGGGTAATACTAATAATGATAGAAACCTCCAGTGCTTATAGTATAGAAGTTTCTATTCCCCAGAGCTTTGTGATCACAGAAGGCATTTTTTTCAAAAGTAGTCCCTTGAGAGTTTTGTACACCATGTTTTGATCATATTCTCACCCTCTAACTCCTCCCAGACCCACCCACTTTCTCTATCCTCCCGATTTTGTGTCCTTTTTAGTTTTTAAATCCCTCAAGACCATTCTATGCTGCCCAAAACATCCTTGGATGTGTGGTCCTCCACTGGAGCCTGGTTGACTCACCAGAGACTACACTCAGAAAAAAACAGTCTCTCCCTCTCCCAGCAGGGAACAGCTGCCAATGGCTCCATGGATGGAGGTGGAAAAGTGTGCCCCGTTCCTCTCCCCATGCTGAGATTCCATCTGGCTTGGACTTGTACAAATTTTGTGCATACTATCACAACCACTATGAGTTCTTATATGCAGCTGCCCTGCTGTGTCCAATAGATGTTTCCTTTCAGTCATCCATTGTTTCTGGCCCTTACCCTCTCGACCACTTCTGAAATGTCCTCTGAGCCTTGGTGGTATGTTTATGCCTGAGCACTCCACAGCCTCATATTCTCTGCACCTTGTCCAGCTGTGGGTCTGTGTTGATCACCATCTGCTGCAAATTGTAGCTTCTCAGATGAGTGACTGATGCATTGATAAGTCAGTAGGAGCCAGTTTAATGCTGTGTTCCATTTAGCAGCAGGTGTCATTGTAGGAGGTTCTCCCCTAAGGCCAAGGACTTGTCTAACCATAGATTCTTGGCCCAATAATGGTCCCGGATTAGGGAAGGTAATTTCAGTGTAAGTTTTTGGTTGTAGATAAATGTAAAATAATTCCATACTGGACTGAGAGATTGCTCAGTAGTTAAGAGCATGTACTGCTCTCAAAGAGGACCCAAGTTTTATTCCCAGCATACATGTTGGTGTCTCACAACAGCCTGTAACTCTGGCTCCAAGATGTTCTGAGGCTTCAGGCTTTCTTGGGAACTTGTACTCATGTGCACATACCCCACCTCCACATACATACAAATAAATCAATATGTGTTTAAGGAATTCCAACTATATTATATTAAAATGCATATGAGGAATTTGAGTGTATTACATTAAAATGAAACTACGTGGGGAAAGTGGAATGAAAGAAACGTTGACACATATCATGCACACACACACACACAATTTTTTTAAGAGGAGGGGCTAGCAAGATGGGTCAGAGGTGAAGGAGCTTGCCACACAAGCCTGGCAAACTGATTTCAATCTCCATAGTCATGTAAGGTAGAAAGGGGAGAAGGGAGAAATGACTCCTCAGGGTTGTCTTCTGACCTTCACATGCACATATGTAGCCTGCATGCTCTCTCTCTCTCTCTCTCTCTCTCTCTCTCTCTCTCTCTCTCTCTCTCTGTCTCTCTCTCTCTCTCATTAGAAGAAGTCAGGTATAAATAAGGCATTAAAATAGAGTGTACATATATTTACATTATGTATACAATTATAATGAATAATACAATTTTTTTTTTTTTTTTTTTGGTTTCTCGAGACAGGGTTTCCCTGTGTAGCTTTGGAGCCTATCCTGAAACTCGCCCTGTAGATCAGGCTGGCCTCAAACTCACAGAGACCCGCTATCTCTACCTCCCGAGTGCTGGGATTAAAGGTGTGCAGCACCACCACCTGGTATATTTTAACACAAAAATAAAAGATTAAGAAGAAGAAGAAGAAGGAACAATGTACCATTTCTGTTTCATTCAGTTATTCTAACTGATATCTCTTACTTTCAATGTTGATTGTATACACAAATTTTCCTGGTATTTAGTTCACTGGATATGATTTTTAAATGTCATGGTTTTATTTTAAAATATTATAACTTCTATAAGTTTATGATGAAGATTCTAGAAGTTAACTTAAAAACATATAGCAAATGTATATTTTTCCCATTAAAGAAAAAAACTCAAAAGAAATTTACCAACTAGACTAAATTTACTAGCCGTTTTATTTATATAATTTTCCAAACCTTCCTTCTTTATGAAAGTGGTTTTACTTTCTAGATGATTATACTGAGTGTTATTCATAAATATGCTAGTTATTTTGAATCTTCTTTGCTATATTTAAAAATGCTGGAATTTTCTAGCATTTGTTCAGATTTTTCTCTCTTAATCTTAGTGTCTGCACATGATAAATATACTCTAAATATATGTTGAATATCTGGAGGCAGGAAGAGAGGTTTTGTACCTTACTTTAACATGTCTTTGAAATGTTTAAATATTAACAAGTGGTTGATATTACATTATTTTAGATGTTGTCTGAAAGCATTACATCGCTCCAGGGCGGTTGTGTAGGAAAAGATGGTTATGATGAAATTGTGCTGGCCACGTATTCAGGTAATGTGATGATAATGGGCAGTTGAAGGATGATGAAAAAAATCTAGATTTAGTAAAGTTACTTTTTGACTAATTTGATTTGTGTGTGTGTGTGTGTGTGTGTGTGTGTGTGTGTGTGTGTGAGAGAGAGAGAGGGAGAGCGAGGGCGGGGGAGAGAGAGAGGGGGTGACG